AAAGCCTACCTCTTGCTCACACCAAGTCTGCCGCACGCTTGGTGGCTGTCCAGGGCAGCTGTCTTCCAAGTGGTAGCTCAGGAATCCAAATCTTCCCGTCTTGTGGCTCATTCATCTTTGCTGAGGACACGTCTTCCCCACTCCTGATGCTTCCTTTCGTGAGCAGAGAGCCCCACTGTTGCAGAACTCTTGGTCTCTCTGCATGCCTCTGCTGATCTGATTGATGAATGCGGAAGGAGAAACAAGGCATGTGTAACCCGGCCCTTTTCTTCCTTTTCTCTGGTGAGCTGGCCCACCTGCAAAAAGTGTGTGTTCTGAACTGCTACGCTCCACCTCACCCTGAGTGTTACGGGGACGGCCCTAGCTCCACTGAGGGAAGAGGGATGCAGTTTCGCCTTCTTCTGGGGTTCAGCATTAGGTTCTGCCCCCTGTCCTAGTCCAAAACCTTGTTATTACGCCCGGGATGGCTTTGAATGCAGCCCCAAACAAATTCATCAACTTTCTAAAATATTATGAGATTTTTTTAAATGACCAGGCACAGTTGCTCACCCCTGTAATCCCGGCACTTTAGGAGGCTGAGTCAGATGGATCACCTGAGGTCAGGAGTTGGAGACTAGCCTGGCCAACGTGGTTAAACCCCGTCTCTACTAAAAATACAACACTTAGACAGGTGTGATGGCAGGTGTCTCTAATCCCAGCTACTCGGGAGGCTGAGGCGGGAGAATCCCTTGAACCTGGGAGGCGGAGGTTGCAGTGAGCCTAGATTGTGCCATTGCACTCCAGCCTGGGCAACAAGAGTGAGACTTCATCTAAAAAAAAAATTCTGAGGTTTTTTTTGTTTTTTTTAACTCATCAGCTATCGTTAGTGTTACTGTGATTTATATGTGGTCCAAGACAATGCGGCCCAGGGAAGCCAAAAGATGGAACCCCCTGGCCTACATAAACAATAGAGCTTGCACAAAAGCGCACTTATTTGTTCCATAGAGTTTCTTGTCATCTAAGACAGCGGTTCTCAACCCAGGATATTTTTACCTCCAAGTGGGATGTTTGACAATGCCTGGGGACTTTTCTCTTTTTTTGAGACAGTCTTACTCCTGTCGCCCAGGCTAGAGTGCAGTGGTCGGATCTCAGCTCACTGCAGCCTCAACCTCCCAGTCTCCGGTGATTCTGTCACCTCAGCCTTCCAAGTAGCTGGGACTACAGATGCATACCACCATGCCTGGCTGATTTTCTGCATTTTTTGCAGAGACGGGGTTTTGTCGTTTTCCCCAGACTGGTCTCAAACTCCTGGGCTTAAGTAATCCACTCACTTTGGCCTCCCAAAGTGCTGGGATTACAATCGTGAGCCACCTCACCCAGCCTGGAGACGTCTGTGATTGTCACAAATAGGGAGGGACTACTGGCATCTAGCAGGTACAGCTAAGCATCCTGTAATTCACAGGACAGCCTCCCACGACAAAGAATTATCTGACCCAAAATGTCAATAGAACTGAGGTTGGGGAAACCTTGATCTAAAGGGAGGAAGTGAGCATCTTGGAGCAGCTGAAGTGATTTAGCCCAAGTCCAAACCAGAGAGGAATTGGACCAGGGCGGCCACTGAAGGCCGAGCAGCTCCATCCCCTCATCTCTGCCACTGCACCTCTCTGGCACACAGATCCATTCCTGAGGATGCGATGAGGCTGCCACCAGCCCGGTGATCTGTCCAGGAGCCCTTTTGCCCCACTGCCTCTTCCAGATGCTGTGACGGCGGGGCACCTCCCCGTGCTCCTGGTAGGAAGCCGGATGAAAGTGTCCTGTCTTCTCAGATCCCCAGCCCATCTCGGGGGTCTGCCGTTGGCCCCACCTACCCCAGGGTGTGGCCTAAGGGTAGAACTAGGTGCAAGGCTCATGCCAGCACCTCACTTTCACCCTTCTCCCCAGCCCTTGCTCCACTTCCCAGCCTGGTGAATCTGTTTCTACTGGAGTTTTCAAGTCAGCCTCCTGGGCTAGGTGTGGGGCTGGGGAGTGGAGGGAAGGGCCTTCAAATAGACAGGAAGGCAGTGGGGACCCGCTTGACACCCTCTTTATATAAATAAACATTTCATAACACCTCGCTTTCTCTCCTAAAATGACAATCACAAATAATATGCCTTCCCCTGCACGTACTTTTAAAAAAGCTATACTAGGGAGAAAAAAATAAAAGGAAAGCAATTTATAACCAAGTAACACATATTTCAATCTGCCAGTGGTCAGGTTCCATGACACTAGAAAACACTGAAGTGTCAGATGCTTGCCCTTGCATATCATAAATAAGTCTGAATTCAAGAAAAGTAGAGGATCAGAAATTATTCTGTGTAAGGACAAAATTAAATAAATAAAAGAGCAAAGATATGCTATCAAATGCTAGAAGAAGTATTATTTTAAGGCCAGGCATGGTGGCTCATGCCTAGAATCCCAGCACTTTGGAAGGCCAACATGGGAGGATTGCTTGAAGCCAGGAGTTTGAGACCAGCCTGGACAACATAGCAAGACCCTGTCTCTACTAAAAATAAAAAATTAGCTAGGCATGGTGGTGCACGACTGCAGTCCAGCTACTCAGGAGGCTGAGGTGGGAGGGTCACTTGAGCCTGGGAGTTTGAGGCCACAGTGAGCTGTGATGGTGCCACTGCACCCCAGATTGGGCAACAAGAGGGGGGCCTGTCTCAAAAATAAATAAATAAACAAATTTTTTTAATCTGTGTTTTTTTTAAACTACAAAAACAGATCACCTCTTGTAGTCTGTAAATGTAAAAGGGAGACAGGGGCGGTGGCTCACGCCTGTAATCCCAGCACTTTGGGAGGCCGAGGTGGGTGGATCATGAGGTCAGGAGTTTGAGACCAGCCTGGCCAATATGGTGAAACCCCATCGCTACTAAAAATATGAAAATTAGCTGGACGTGTCGGCGCACGCCTGTAGTACCAGCTACTCAGGAGGCTGAGTCAGAAGAATCACTTGAACCCGCGAGGTGGAGGTTGCAGTGAGCCCAGATGGCGCCACTGCACTCCAGCCTGTGTGACAGAGGGAGACTCCATCAAAAAATAAAAAAAATTTAAAAAAGGAGGCGGGGCTGAGATCATGGTAACAGAGTTTTCGCCTACGGGAACAGCTGTCCCCGCCCACTAAATGGCAGCAGTGCTTTGCAGTCATTGTGAAATCAAAACGCTTCTTCCACATTGCTAAACTCATACACACACAACCTCCCCTCCAAGAACCACTGAGTTCATGCTTCAAATATTAACCTGACAAGTGAGTAAAATTCCAATTGAACATTTGGAAGTATATATGCCAAAATATTAATGGTGCTTTTCTAAAGCAGAAGGGGAATTACAAAAAACATTCCCTTTTGTTTCCTTTCTTTCTTTTTTTACGTTCTGTATTGTGTAAAATCTTGCTTATCTGTATGAACTTTGCAATCAGACAAAAAAAAAAAAAGTCCTTGTTGAAACCAGTGTGTCAGGGCTCCCAAGCGTACCTTATTGTGTGTGTGTGTTTTGTTTTTTGTTTTTATTTTTTTTTTGAGACGGAGTTTCGCTCTTGTTTCCCAGGCTGGGGTGCAATGTCGCCAATTGCAGCTAACTGCAACCTCCCCCTCCCGGGTTCAAGCGATTCTCCTGCCTCAGCTTCCCGAGTAGCTGGGATTACAGGCATGTGCCACCACGCCCAGCTAGTTTTTTTGTGTTTTTAGTAGAGACAGGGATTTCACCATGTTGGCCAGGCTGGTCTCGAACTCCTGACCTCAGGTGATCTACTTGCCTCGGCCTCCCAAAGTGCTGGGATTACACGCGTGGGTCACCACGCCCGGCCCAGTTTTGTTTTGGTCCTTTCAAGGAGGATTCAGATCTGCTTGAATTGATGGAGAAACCACCAACTCACTTTTTCAAACGTCAAAACAACTCCGCAGGCCTGAGGAAGACTCATCTTGCAGCGCGGCCTGCCCAGGTCTCCAGGGAATCCAGCTCAGCTCAGCCCTATGACTTTGCTCGGCCCCGCCTGCACCGCCGCCCCGTGGCCAAGGACAGTACTGGGTCCTTCAAAAGGCGATGGCGGAGGAGGGGCCAGGGACCTTGCCACAGGGGCAAGCTTCTTTCTGTCCCACCAACCACAGGACAGCCTGGTGAAGTTTATGGAGCCCTCTCGCAGTGTAGTAGCGCGTAAGTATATAAATAAAATACATATGCTGAAAAAAAAAACTAATATTGGCGAGATGATTCTCAAAACTCTTTATAATTATGTGATATAGTGCAGAGGGAGACCCAGGCATCTCAGATCAACTTCCCCTTTTCATTCCTAAGACTGTAAACCGAAACCCTTTTCATATGTAATTCCTGAGACTGTAAACCGAGACCCTTTTCATATGTAATTCCTGAGACTGTAAACTGAGACCCTTTTCATATGTAATTCCTGAGACTGTAAACCGAGACCCTTTTCATATGTTAAGCTATAAACTCCTTCCTCCTGTATTCGGTGTCCGAGAGATCCGAGATCCGTTTCCCGCGGCCGCTCCTGCTACAGTAGTAGTAGCGGTGTTTCATTATTAGGGCTGTAAATAACCAGCTCTGGGGGCAGGTCCAGTAACTCATGATTTTCCAAGCAGCGAGGAGTACACACGACGTTTCGAGATAACCACAGCCTGATGTGCCAGTGTCTGTGATCGTAATTGGTAACAAAGCTGCAGGTACTGCTAACAGTACACTCCTAATGGGAGGAAAAGCTAAACATTAGAAGTCAGTGAAAGTCGGTATGTAACTTTTTCCCATGCGAATACATGGACTCCTTGAATTCGACCCACAGACCCCTTAGGGTGCACCGACCACAGGTTAAGAAAGAAGCACCAGCGTGGGTTTTCAGTCCTGGGAGGTGAGCCGGGGTAGGCACGCGTGGGCGATCATTAAAGGGAAGGCAGAGGCGCCCCCCCGCTGGGCCTGCGGAGGGGTGACCCGCACGCCCCTCCCCTCGCTTCCTCGGCCTGGTTTCACGCGACTAGAGGAAGTTAAAGCCCCGCGTGGCTGAAGAGCAGCACACAGTCCCCAGCGTCTGCTCCCGCGGTGTTCAGCGCCCAGAATGCGGCTTCTGGTCCTGCTATGGGGTTGCTTGGTGCTCCCAGGTGAGATGGGGTGGGGGTCTTGGGAGGGATGTGGGGTTCACCCTTGGGGTCTGCAGGGGAAGGACCTCCTGACTGCCTGAGCCCCACCCCACCCATCCTCAGCCTCCTCAGCCCTAGGGGAGCGGGGCAGTGCTGGGGCGCGATTGCTGTTTCTGGAACCTAGAGCCAGGTGTTCTCCCACACTCGTGCGTTTCCCCTCCTGGCGAAGTGGCTGTGACAGTTGCTTTGCCTCTCTGATCTTAATTTTTCTACCCTGTGCCAAGCCTGGAGGCAGACAAGACACCCCCATCTGATTGTCCTTTTAAACTCAGCAAATATTTGTTGAATCTCCACCGTGCCTCTCCCCACAACCCTGAGAGATGGAGAATGATCACGTTCCATCAATTCTTTTGCTTTCTTTTTCTTTACCTTCTAACACTGAAAAAATCAGGATGCATCCTTCAACTGATGCCAGTTGTTCGGTTGGCAATAGTGAGACCCCATTTCTTTGAAAAAACAAACAAAAAATTAGTCAGGCGTGGGGGTGCACGCCTATAGTCCTAGCTAGTGGGAGGATCTCTTGAGTCCCAGAGGTCAACGCTACAGTGAGCCAGGAGCGCCCTGCCCTCCAGCCTGGGCAACAGAGTGAGATCCTGTCTACAAACAAAACAAAAACCCAGAAACCCTCCTGTCTATCTGGCTATCAAATGGGCCAGGGTTAGGGAAACATCAGCAGCCCTGCCCCGGAGCGGGAGAGGAGTACTGGACTTTCCAAACCTGTCCCCAGAAGGGGTGACTAAGCCTTCCTTCCTCCTCCTAAAATGGAAGCTCTGGCCTTGACCTTGGTGCATGGATCCTGGTAATTCCAACCTCCACTCCTCCTGTGATTTTAGGTTATGAAGCCCTGGATGGCCCAGAGGAAATCAGCGGGTTCGAGGGGGACACTGTGTCCCTGAAGTTCACCTACAAGGAAGAGCTGAGGGACTACCGGAAGTACTGGTGCAGGAATGTCGGCCTCTTCTTCTCCCGCTGCGCCGGCACCATCTATTCGGGAGAAGAAGGTCAGGAGACAACGGAGGGCAGGGTGTCCATCCGTGACAGCCGCCAGGAGCTCTCATTCACTGTGACCCTGCGGAACCTCACCCTGAAAGACGCTGGGAAGTACTGGTGTGGGGTCAAGGGCGTCAATAAGCATTTACTGATCACTCTGGTCATCTTTCCAGGTAACAAATATCTCTCCTTCCCCCCGCTGGGGACAGGCGCTGCAGAGGGAAGAGGGAGGGATGGTGGGGCGTAGTCCTGGTCCCAACCTTATTGCCTCAGGGAGATCATGCAGGTCAAGCACTGAGCAAGGCCTGGGGCACAGAGGGAGCTGCATAAGTCTTGGCCACTCTCGCTCTTGCTGCCCAAGGTACCACTAGTAGATGTCAGAGCAGGACTGGACCCAGATCTGTCCAGTGCTGGGCTCGGCGCCATTCCTTTCTGCCCAGAGGTACTGGAGGGAGATTTCCATAGGTTGGGTACAAGATGGACATACTGGGGATAAAGAAGACTCCTTGCCTGGTGTCCAAGATATTCCTGAGCACAGAGCCACACCTGAGCCCTGACCATGCCGGCCTCACTCTGCTTGTGCCCTCAACGCTCCCCTCCTGGCCTCCACCTCCCCCGATCTTGAAGTCCAGGCACAGGTGCTAGAGTGCTTAGGAACCAGCCTCTGGGTAGGGTGCCTGAAGGAGGAATTGTTAAATGCAGGGGCACTGAGGGGCTGGGCTGGAGCCATGGGGCCCAAGCAGAGGATAAAGCACCTCTCTGGGTGCCCAGAACCCCACCTGGATCTGCTGAGCTAAGGAGAAAGAAGCCAGAGAGGGCCCAGGGCAGTGGGAGCCTTGGTCTACTGGCCAGCGAGGGCAAGGTAGGTCTTTGTGGTCCCATTTCACAGATGAGGGACTGAGGCTCCAAGAGACTAAGTGATTTGCCCAAGGTCTCACAGCAGGAAGTGGTGGAACTAGGATTCTAACACAATCATCTCGGGCTTTGATGTCTGCTTTATTCCTCTCCTGGCCCTCTAGCTGGGACATATCCCAAGCCCAGGCCCAGCCCCACCACCAACAGATCCCCTCATTATTACTTTTTCAGTCCTTTCTCCATGGATCTTTATTTTAATTTAGGGAAATAAAGTTAAACTTGCCAAATAGCAGCAGCATCAAACCACATTGAATCTGTTCTTCATTATTTACGAGATTCTCTTACCTCTTCCAATTCTTTTTTTTTTTTTTTTTTT